AACGTCATAGAAATTCGATTATTATCGGAAATCACCTATCACATACTATAGAATAAAATCCTTGTAGTACAGTGTGTATACTGAAGCAACAGATTAAAATATCGTATTTTTTGCATTTAAGGTTGTGTTACATTACGGTGACATTAATGAAATGTTGAAGTACCATTTTAAAAAAATATTAACAATACAAGGCAAATGAGAGTAAAGCGCGGTAATTGGAGCGCAGATACAATTATAAAAACTTGTGACAATTTCTTACATAGATGTATTTAAGAAACTATGTTAAAATTCCGTTTATTCCGTTTATTCTGAAATTTTAACATAGTTTCTTAAATACATCTATGTAAGAAATTGTCACAAGTTTTTATAATTGTATCTGCGCTCCAATTACAGCGCCTTACTTTCATTTGTCTTGTATTGTTAATGTTTTTTAAAATTTGAGAGTTATTATTAAGCTTTTTATTTCAAACGTTTTTAAACTTGTTTCATATTTTTTGATGTGTTATATATGACTTGTTTTATGTATTTGATATGTATTAATTCTGATTTCTGGTAGATTACGAAATTGTAATTAAAAATATTCTGGCATATCACAGACTTCCGAATAAAACCGGGCAAAAATAAAAAAAATTATTTATGCATTTTAATTATTTTAATCGTGCGATATAATGAATCCTTCCATCACAAAATAGAATATGAACTACAGATAATTTTAATTAATGACTTCATAAACGCTCTATATTTAAATAATTTTCTATTATGTAACCGATTACGATCCTTTTAAATTTATTTTTATTTTTAATTGTTTTATGTTTTACACTGAGGATGATATGATAAAGGTCGAAACATTTGTATATTAAATGTTTATATTGATTGAATTGAAAATAGATTAATCATTAGCAATTAACAACTAGCATTGACTCGTCTTTCTCGTTTTACAATTTTACTTTTTAGAAAATATTGTCCTTTGGTCATTTCTAAAGTTGTCTAAAAAAAAAAAAAAACGAAACGTCTAAAAAATTCGTTATTTTCTAAAATCACTTGCTATTTACTATAAAGCAAAATTCTTGTTATACAGTGTGTGTACTAAATAAAAAAAATAAAATATCGTATTCGTCATGTTTCAGATTTCGTTACTGTATGGCGAAAAGAATGAAATGATGAAGTTCCTGGCGTATATCTTTGTTCAGGTGGTACACACGTTCTGCTTCAGTATACTAGGACAGAGATTGATTGACCACAGCTCGATATTAAGCGATAAAATGTAAGATTTTAATCACTTAATATCGGTAAAATCGAAAATTTGTTGACGACTGAGATTCAAAGTTGTTGTAGATACAATTCCTCCTGGTATGAAATATCTGCGGAATCACGAAGGCTGCTTCTGTTCGTGATGCGAAGGAGCTTGCAACCTTGTTTTTTGAGCGCCGGCAAAATTTATGTCTTTTCTCTGAAGAGCTTCTCCACGGTAAATGTTATTTACCAAATTTATGTTTTTACATGTTCCTTTGAAGTCTCTCTTAAGAATACTGGCATTTATTTTAAAGGTAATGCAGTCTTCTGTTTCGTATTTTACCGTACTTGCATCCTTCCAATGATCAATGGTCAATATGTAATTTGGATAGTATCTGTACAACCACAATAATATTATAGTAATAGAGATCGTGCAGTGGAAATAATATTTACATTATACACATTAATTTTATATTTTTAATCTCATTTTTAATCTCATTTTTACACGGAAGTTACAAACTATAAGAAGATATAAGCAAAAATAAAAATGGAAAAATGGGTAAGAAATGCTATTTATTTTAAGTACTGAAATATGTTCATTTTTTGTTCGGTTTTAAAAGAAGAATATTAGGTAGGATAGATATTGGGCAGGTAACAGTTTTTTAGTTATGAACTGGATTATATTTGCATCTAAAGTATATAATACATAATAATGTCGTTAGCGTGAGTTGCAAAAATAATTGGATTCAAATCTTTAACTGATAAAATTCGATTTAATGTTACGCCAAAATCATGGCGAGCATGTCAAATGAGATCACAGAAGCTAATTGTGATGGTGAAGAGTGTACAACCGAGTTTTTCAAGCACCGACGAGATCTATGTCTATATACTGCCTAGGGAGCTTTACGTTAATATGCGCAGAATTATCGTGTGTTTGTGTGTGTGTGTCATAGTATTTCTTTTACGAAACATAATGATCTTGTTTTGAAGATTTTGCAAATGTTGATGCCATACTTTACGGTGCTCTCATTCCTTTAGTAGCTATTATATTTATTTGTGCATCTGACGATATTTTCCGGTGGCATTTGTCGAAAAAAACAATACCGTATGTCTTTAATTCTCCTAATATAATTAAACACTCCTAATTCCATTGTTTATCGTTAATTCTTTATCAAAATTATGCGTACATTGACTGTTGTTATGTGTATCTTGAATATTTAATATTTCGGATAAACAATCTTAATCAAAAATGTTAGACGTCTATATTTTTTCATTTATCTGGAATTCTTTTACTTTCACTTAGTTATTTAATTAGTCCTTCTCAGCCATAAACTGATTATAACTCCATAAGAAAATAATTTAAACTAACGCATAATTCGAAATGTTCTATGATTTATTTTCGTTAGTCAAACATTGATAATAAAGTTATCCATATTAGTCATCTAAATTTTGGCTTGTTCAATTTTTGACCTGTTATACCTTCTATTCAATTATATTTGCTACGCATATTATACGCGAACTAGAAATTAATATAAATTTTTAATTTTGATACTATTTTATATATTTTATTTAATAAAATGTCTAATGTATGATATAACACTTTAAAACTTCTCTTAAAGTCCGTAGTTTGAGTGTTATTTAGATTTTAGAACATTAGTTCCTCTAAATGTGTTGTCGTCGTCTTGAAAATGTTTATTTTTTATTATATTTTTAAGAAACATCATTAAATCCAATAAAACCAGATCTGGTACTAAGATAAGTGGCTGATCTTAACAATTCTTTCATTGTCAAATATTCGGACTGAGAAAGAGATTTTTGAGACTAGCCATTTATTTTAATCGTCAGAATTGGCTTTTTCGGATTTCATGCTGTTCTCGAAGCACAAAATCATCATAAAAATTACACCTTTTTTTGTTCAAGGTTTCGAGGACATTTAGATAAATTTGACGATTGCTCTAGGTAGCACTCCAACTACTTAAATTAAAATAAAGTTTCAACGCTTTATAACAGAGATGTATGTAGTATATGGATATCATAAAAGGCTACTTTGGAAGACAAAATAATGTACGATAAACTAATTTAAGTGGCTAAAATTTAAAAACAATATTACAAAGAGAGCATACACTACTACGCAAGGTCTTATGAGCGAAACAATATATAGATTTATTAAATATAAAAAGAACAATTTCAAAATATATATTTTAGAATATAAACGTTTCAGTTTTAATTAGATCATCTTCAGTATACATATGATAAATACATTAATTTCAACCAAGGTATTATCGCAATTAATTTGACAGATGCCTTAAATTGTGAGAATAGAGTCTTGTCAGTTCCAATAAAAACTGACGTGAAAATAATGTAAAATTCGTGGAGAAGTTTGTCCTTTTTCATTGTTGACACAGTCCGGAAACTTTATTGTCAAACTATATATACCTACATGATTTTAGTTTCAATTTTTCCAGAGTCACAAATTGATGCCATTATTTGTGGAATTAGTTGTAATTTACATATGTAACTAATTGAAACAATTTCAAGTATTAGTAACGGAATATAATTTTCTACAGTACTTCTGTATTTTTATATAAAACATTTATAAAAAGTAGAAGTTACGTATTACTGATCCTTGTAGCGGTACTGAACGTAGAATAACATTATAGTACAAGCAACTACATATGACAGATATAAAATTTATGTCTAGCAACTGAGTACACGTAAACGCATCTTGTCAGAGGAATTCTTATTTCCTTGAATATTCCGATCGATATGTTCAATACGGAAGAGAGTTGGCCTGTTCGTTGATAAGTTTCCTTTCATGTTCACATTTTATTAGACATGACACGCAAAATTGCTATCAAAGGTTTCTATCGTAAGTAGTACTTTGCTATATTACACCTACTAAAATATTAATTCGTTTCTCATAACAAAGGCAAGACGAGAAGTTCAGTCGATTGCGTGTTGCCAAAGATAAAACATTGAAAATTATGGCATTAGTGTGGAAAGATTACTACAGTATTACAAAAAAATTGTTGTTATTCTGCGGCCAGTGGCCTTACCAGGAAAAACGAGTGAAGCTTTTTCGAATGAGCTTGATAACTCTTACCGTTTTTTCGCTGATTGTTCCACAGGTTGTTCATAAAATTTTTAATAGTCACTATACTAAACTTAAATCTGAAGGTCAATAGGTTGCGTAAAAAAATTAATTAAAATACACAACGCGTATGTATATCTTTTAAGCGCGTCTTATAGACGATATATAATTCGACAAAATGCAAGATAGACTCTTTTTATCATTTTGTGAAATTATTGTATGAAAAATGTATTTTAAAATGTACGCGTATCAAAATACACGAGATATGAAATTAAAAATAGAATTTTATCCTGCGGAACTGCATTACAAATCATCTAAAGTGAGTTTGAATAAGTATACTTCTAGGTGGCCCAAATTTTTCATTGCGACGGAAACGCACGATGTATTAAACTGACTATACCGATGCTTACGCTATCGATGTTTACGTTTGTGGTGAAACTATACGCATTCCAATTTAACAGTAACAAAGTATGCCAATGCGGAAATTTATATTAAATATTTGATCGACAATTATTCAAATTTTTATCATCCTTCGCGATCGCGATCTTCTACGATCGTCGGACTGTTCAGTAAGATCCAACATTCAACGATGGCATTTTTATTGTAGGTCAGAAGTCTTACTGACCATCTGTGTGACGATTGGAAGAAGTTGTATAGCGCGGAGGAATACGAAATTATGAAAAAATATGCCACAAACGCAAAATTGATTACTTTGGCATATTTCAGTAAGGATAGATAGTTCTGTATGATTTTTATTTTAACAAATGACGGACGATTATTTCGTTTTGTTGCAGTATATTTTTATTTGTGCTCTAATCTGGTCGTGTTACTTTCTCTCGTACCCAAATTACTGGACATCGTGTTACCCCTCAATGAATCCCGATCCATAAGTATGCCTTTTGAAGCCTATTATTTCGTCGATAAAGAAAAATATTATTTCTACATTATGTTTCATATATGCATGGGCGGGACTATAGCTCTTACGGCGGTAGTCGCGCACGATTGCACGTTTTTTATGTACATTGAGCATGTTTGTAGCCTCTTTGCTGTGGTTGGGTAAGAAAAACTATATATACTTTTTTATACGTTGTTTCTATCACGACTGATCGGGAGAGCGGAACTTGCGGCTGAAATGTTCACAGATTTCGTCTTGAGACTTTATCATATAAAGATCGTAACGATGCGAATAATTGTTCGGATCATCGGAAGATCTATACTCGGAAAATCGCTATCTTCATTCATGCACACTGGAGAGCTTTACGGTAAGTACACAATATTATATTAGGTAGATCGTATGTTATACATAAAAATGAAAACGAAACTAGGAATTATACTAATGTAAGTACTAATGTAAGTACAAAATTTGTTTCCATTGGACAGATTCGCGGAGATTCTTGAAGACATGTTTTGCACTGCTCTCGCAATACAAATGCTGATAGTTGTTATCACATTGAGCATTACTCTACTACAAGTACGTATCTATCTATTTGTTGTTGCAATTCAACTTGGTACATGCATATTTCGTACGATGTTACTTGTCGTTCGTGTTGCATTACTCGCGGTTATATGATTAACAACAACATGTGACATTTTTAAACTTTTTTCATATGTCTTGACATGTAATTCTAATAGGGTTTTATCGTAGATTATGAAAATGTATTTAAAAATACTCTAGCAGTCTAGCATGTCACAGGCTTTCGGCTTTAAAAAATTAAAAAATTATATTTGGCCATTTTTTAAATTGTTTAAAAAACAGAACGTCGTAAAGATTCGGTTATTATCGGAAATCACTTGCCATATACTATAAAATAAAACCCTTGTATAGTGTGTGTGTGTATACTAAATCAAGAGATTAAAATATCGTACTTGTCATGTTCAAGGTTGCGTTACAGTACGACGAAATTCATGAAATGTTGAAGCACCTGACGTTTATCTTCGCTCAAGTATTGCACACGTTCCTCTACAGTCTTCATGGTCAGAGATTGCTTGATCACAGCTTGCAATTAAGCGACAAAATGTAAGACTTTATGTAATCACTTAAAATCGGTGAAATCGAAAATTTGCTGACGACTACAAAGATGTCCCAGATACAATTCCTCCTGGTATGAAATACCTGCGGAAACACAAAGGCTACTTCTGCACGTGATGCGAAGGAGCATGGAACCCTGTTTCTTGAGCGCCGGCAAGATTTATGTCTTCTCTTTGAAGAGCTTTACCACGGTAAATATTATTTAGGCAACTTATATGTTGTTTCATGTTTCTTTGAACTCTCTCTTAAGAATATTGTCCTTTATTTTAAAGGTTATGCAGTCTTCGGTGTCCTATTTTACCATGCTTGCTTCCTTCCAATGAGCATTGATCAATATATAATTTTGGATAGTATGCAATTACAATTATATTATAGTAATAGAAATTATGTAGTGAACAAATTATACTTAAATATTTATTAGAATATAATCTATTTCTCTTCAGCATATAATGTATAGCCAAAAAGAGGACTTGGTTTACAATTTCCTCTTACATTAGTCTTTTTTATCTATCCATACCTTACACGCGCTGTTATTTTTTATGTGTTCTTTACTATTTTATTATTTTACTATTTTACTATTTACCACCTTAGCTTACTATCCACTTATTTCTTTCCTCTATCTGGATTACACAAATATTCAAAATTTTATGACGTAAAAAAGTTAATTAAAATTTACAGGTATATATAACATAATTTATTTTGTCGAATTATATCTATTAAGTTCGTCTATAAAGCTATAATCATTTCATGAAGTAAAAAATATATATTAATATAAGGCATTCGTATCAATATACACGACATATAAAAATAAAATTATAAATTTTTCCTGCGGAACTGCATCATAAATCGTCTGAAATAAGTAAAGATTCTTCTAGGTGGCTCAAATTCTTCACTGCGACGGAAACGTACGATGCATTCTATTAACTATACCAGCGTTTATGTTGATGGTTATGATTTTGTTGAAACTATACACATGCCAGTTTAACAGTAGCAAAGTACGCCGAAATTTGTATTAACACCGAAATTTGTATTATAAATTGATTAAAAGATTATTATTCGAATTTTTATTATACTCTTCTTTTATTATTCTTATTTTATTATTTTTTATCATCACGGATTTTTTTTTGATTGTCGGACTGTCTAATGAGATTGAACATCCATTGACGGTGTTTCTAGATAAAAAATGTTATGGACTATCTGTGTGACGATTGGGAGATATTGAATAGCACGGAGGAATATGAAATTATGAAAAAGTATGCCACGAACGCAAGATTGATTTCTTTCGCATATGTCTGTAAGGAAAAATCGTTCAGTACCTATTATTTTTATTTTTATGAATGACACACAATTATTTCGTTTTGTTGCAGTATATTTATACTTATCCCTCAGTGCGTTCATATTACTTTCCCTTGTACCCAAATTGCTGAACATTGTATTACCCCTCAACGATTCCCGACCTATAACTATGCCTTATGACGTATATTATTTCGTGGACGAAGAGAAATATTATTTCTACATTATATTTCACATCTATGTGAGCGTCAATATGTCTCTTACGGCGGCAGCCGCACACGATTCCACGTTTTTTATTTATATTGAGCATATCTGCAGCCTTTTTGCAGTGGTTGGGTAAGAAAGACAATTTTTTTTTACGTTGTTTCTCTCACGATTCAAGGAAAGATCGAAACCGTCCCTTAAATGTTCACAGATTTCATCTTGAGACTTTATCACGTAAGGATCGTAACGACGCGAATAATAATCTATCGTATAATCGGAAAATCGTAGTTTCCATTCATGCACACTGGCGAGCTTTACGGTAAGTGCACAATCTTGTATTATGTAGAACGTGTTCTATAAATTTAAAGAAAAAATAACCAAAAATTGTACTATATAAGTACCACAAAATTTGTTTCTATTGGACAGTTTCGCGAAAATTCTTGAAGACATTTTTTGCACTGCTTTCGCAGTACAAATGCTGATAGTTACTGTAACATTGACTATTACTTTGCTACAAGTACGTATCTACCTATTTGTTATTGCAATTCAACTTGGTATCTGCATATTTCGTGCGATGTTATTTGTCCTTTGTGTTGCATTACTCATGGTTATATTATTAACAGCACTATGCAACGTTTTTAAACTTTTTTCATATTTCTTGACATGTAATTTTTATAGGCTTTTCTCGTCGATTACGGAACTGTATTTAAAAATAATCTAGCATGTCACAAGCATTCGAGAAAACCAAGTAAAAAATAAAAAAATTATTTTTCATCACTTTCAAAGTTGTTAAAAAAACCGAACGTCATTGAAATTCGATTATTATCACCTATCACATACCATAAAACAAAATCCTTGTAGTACAGTGGGTATACTGAAGCAACAGATTAAAATATCGTATTTTTTGCATTTAAGGTTGTGTTACATTACGGCGACATTAAAGAAACGTTGAAGTACCTTGCGTTTATCGTTGCTCAAGTAATACATACTTTTTGCTACAGTCTGCAAGGTCAGAGACTGATCAATCACAGCATACAATTGCGCGACAAAGTGTAAGATTTTATAATCATTAATAAATTTAGTGAAATTGCAAATTTGCTGACAACTGAGATACACAGTTGTTGTAGATATAATTCTTCCTGGTACGAAATACCTGCGGAATCACGAAAGCTGCTTCTGTTCGTAATGCGAAGGAGCATGGAACCCTGTTTCTTGAGCGCCGGCAAGATTTTTATCTTCTCTTTGAAGAGCTTTACCACGGTAAATATTATTTAGGCAACTTATATGTTGTTTCATGTTTCTTTGAACTCTCTCTTAAGAATATTGTCCTTTATTTTAAAGGTTATGCAGTCTTCGGTGTCCTATTTTACCATGCTTGCTTCCTTCCAATGAGCATTGATCAATATATAATTTTGGATAGTATGCAATTACAATTATATTATAGTAATAGAAATTATGTAGTGAACAAATTATACTTAAATATTTATTAGAATATAATCTATTTCTCTTCAGCATATAATGTATAGCCAAAAAGAGGACTTGGTTTACAATTTCCTCTTACATTAGTCTTTTTTATCTATCCATACCTTACACGCGCTGTTATTTTTTATGTGTTCTTTACTATTTTATTATTTTACTATTTTACTATTTACCACCTTAGCTTACTATCCACTTATTTCTTTCCTCTATCTGGATTACACAAATATTCAAAACTTTTTGACGTAAAAATTTTAAATTTTATGACGTAAAAAAGTTAATTAAAATTTACAAGTATATATAACATAATTTATTTTGTCGAATTATATCTATTAAGTTCGTCTATAAAGCTATAATCATTTCATGAAGTAAAAAATATATATTAATATAAGGCATTCGTATCAATATACACGACATATAAAAATAAAATTATAAATTTTTCCTGCGGAACTGCATCATAAATCGTCTGAAATAAGTAAAGATTCTTCTAGGTGGCTCAAATTCTTCACTGCGACGGAAACGTACGATGCATTCTATTAACTATACCAGCGTTTATGTTGATGGTTATGATTTTGTTGAAACTATACACATGCCAGTTTAACAGTAGCAAAGTACGCCGAAATTTGTATTATAAATTGATTAAATGTTATTATTCGAATTTTTATTATACTCTTCTTTTATTATTCTTATTTTATTATTTTTTATCATCACGGCCTTTTATGATTGTCGGACTGTCTAATGAGATTGAACATCCATTGACGGTGTTTCTAGATAAAAAATTTTATGGACTATCTGTGTGACGATTGGGAGAAATTGAATAGCACGGAGGAATATGAAATTATGAAAAAGTATGCCACGAACGCAAGATTGATTTCTTTCGCATATGTCTGTAAGGAAAAATCGTTCAGTACCTATTATTTTTATTTTTATGAATGACACACAATTATTTCGTTTTGTTGCAGTATATTTATACTTATCCCTCAGTGCGTTCATATTACTTTCCCTTGTACCCAAATTGCTGAACATTGTATTACCCCTCAACGATTCCCGACCTATAACTATGCCTTATGACGTATATTATTTCATGGACGAAGAGAAATATTATTTCTACATTATATTTCACATCTATGTGAGCGTCAATATATCTCTTACGGCGGCAGCCGCACACGATTCCACGTTTTTTATTTATATTGAGCATATCTGCAGCCTTTTTGCAGTGGTTGGGTAAGAAAGACAATTTTTTTTTACGTTGTTTCTCTCACGATTCAAGGAAAGATCGAAACCGTCCCTTAAATGTTCACAGATTTCATCTTGAGACTTTATCACGTAAGGATCGTAACGACGCGAATAATAATCTATCGTATAATCGGAAAATCGTAGTTTCCATTCATGCACACTGGCGAGCTTTACGGTAAGTGCACAATCTTGTATTATGTAGAACGTGTTCTATAAATTTAAAGAAAAAATAACCAAAAATTGTACTATATAAGTACCACAAAATTTGTTTCTATTGGACAGTTTCGCGAAAATTCTTGAAGACATTTTTTGCACTGCTTTCGCAGTACAAATGCTGATAGTTACTGTAACATTGACTATTACTTTGCTACAAGTACGTATCTACCTATTTGTTATTGCAATTCAACTTGGTATCTGCATATTTCGTGCGATGTTATTTGTCCTTTGTGTTGCATTACTCATGGTTATATTATTAACAGCACTATGCAACGTTTTTAAACTTTTTTCATATTTCTTGACATGTAATTTTTATAGGCTTTTCTCGTCGATTACGGAACTGTATTTAAAAATAATCTAGCATGTCACAAGCATTCGAGAAAACCAAGTGAAAAATAAAAAAATTATTTTTCATCACTTTCAAAGTTGTTGAAAAAACCGAACGTCATTGAAATTCGATTATTATCACCTATCACATACCATAAAACAAAATCCTTGTAGTACAGTGGGTATACTGAAGCAAGAGATCAAAATATCGTATTTTTTGCATTTAAGGTTGCGTTACAATACGGCGACATTAATGAAATGTTCAAGTACCTAATGTATATCTTTGGTCAAGTATTACACACGTTTTTCTTCAGTCTACAAGGTCAGAGACTGATCAATCACAGCATACAATTGCGCGACAAAGTGTAAGATTTTATAATCATTAATAAATTTAGTGAAATTGCAAATTTGCTGACAACTGAGATACACAGTTGTTGTAGATATAATTCTTCCTGGTACGAAATACCTGCGGAATCACGAAAGCTGCTTCTGTTCGTAATGCGAAGGAGCATGGAACCCTGTTTCTTGAGCGCCGGCAAGATTTTTATCTTCTCTTTGAAGAGCTTTACCACGGTAAATATTATTTAGGCAACTTATATGTTGTTTCATGTTTCTTTGAAGTCTCTCTTAAGAATATTGTCCTATATTTTAAAGGTTGTGCAGTCTTCGGTGTCGTATTTTACAGTGCTTGCATCCTTCCAATGATCATTGATCAATATATAATTTTGGATAGTATGCAACTACAATTATATTATAGTAATAGAAATTATGCAGTGAAAAAATTATACTTAAATATTTATTAGAATATAATCTATTTCTCTTCAGCATATAATGTATAGTCAAAAAGGGAACTTGGTTTACAATTTTCTCATAGTCTTTTTTATCCATCCGTTCCTTACACGCGCTGTTATTTTTTATGCAATCTTTACTATTTTATTATTTTACTATTTTACTATTTACTACCTTAGCTTACTGTCCACTTATTTCTTTTCTCTATCTGGATTACACAAATATAAATTGCTCTGTACTACCTTAACTATTAATTTTTCGCTACTTATACATCGCAATTCGCAGCTTTATTTTACAGTCTTTAATTCTTCAGTCTTTATTCCCCTTTTCGCCTCTCCCTCTAGCTTCTTTATTACTTTGGACGGATCTACGCATCTATTTTAGACTTAAAGCGTTTTCTTTCTCGTCTCTTTTCATTCTTAGTATTTACTCTTTATCTTTCTTTATGACCTTATTCTTAATTCTCGAATCATTCTGGGTCTTTCGTGTCCATGCCCATTTCTAATAGTTTTCATTTCTCATATATCTGTGAACATCGCCCTATGCCTTCCTCCCTCCCCAAGGAAACAAACTTTATGATGGGGGGACGATAGGGAAACAACGGCGACAAAGAATCTCTATGTGTTGTCGAGCAGTACGGTCGCAAAGTTGCGTGAGAAACCGAAAGACCCATATGTGTATAATTGGTAGGTGTCTTTTTCACAAGTAAGTGAATCAGTTATTTTGCTATTTTTGTATTGAGTAGGCTTATTTTATCGTGTCTATATTTTTTTGCTGTATTCACTACGAGAAGCCGATACGCGAAGTCCATTTATCACCGATATACAGCGAACGCATACCATAAATAAATTTAATATTTTCTGTGGAAATCACTTTTTTAATATTTCTGTTTGCATTAATAATAATCATTTTTGTACTTTAATAAAATCAAAAACAGTTTTTTCTTTAAAAATACTGTATTTGTCCACATTAAAAATATGACATATTTAGATGCTCAAATAATTGCACTTTTTTGCATCTGGCTCCCGTAATATTTTTTTTTGTAAACTCTGATATCTGTACAGAAACATCCTACAATGATTTGTTTTGGTACATAGATAGCAAAGTGACAATTTTTATATTAAAATTATTTTCTTTTTCTGGTGCAGAAAGTAATTTTCATAATTTTCCTAAACATTTTTTCCAATGTTTGCATAGCCGGATAATTTAGTAGAGATCTTAAAGAATAAGTGTGAATTTTTACAAAATTTTTCGAGCACTTTTAGAGCCTTAAAATCGAGTCGGATACGAATGATCCATGTGTGTCGTCCAAAGGTACCGAAAATAAGTGTATGGATCGAGGGTTAATATCATCCAGCTCCTACTCCATAACCTATCTATAATTTTTCCTTTCTCTTCACCTAACTCATTGCACTTCCCCTTCAATTCCTCACATTCTCTCACATAATGTTCTATATTATTCCTACCTTTTCCACAGAATATACATCTCACCTCTTCCTCCCTCATCTAATCAATATTTGTCAATCTCTTCCATATTCCCACACCTTAGTTTTACTAATAAGAAGACATAAGCAGGAATGGAAAATAAAGAAATCGGTAAGAAACCATGACATCTAATATAAGTGTTAAAATGTATTCATTTCTTGTTCAACTAAAGGGGAAGTTATTACGCAAGATAACAAGTTTTAGTATTATCAAAGAATATGTCTCTTTGTTCTACAGTCTACGAATTTTATCGTCAAATCACGTATGTATGTAGATTTTAATGTTAATCTTTTTGGCATCACAAACTGATGCCACTATTTCTGGAGTTAGCTGTACACAATAATTTGTATCACCTACAGAATTTCACGTATGAATAACAGAATATAATCTTGTACAGCCCTAATAAATTTTTATATAGGAAATGTAATTTAAAAGGAACTTCTCAGTAAGTAGATTTCTATTTTGAATTATTTCAGTAACGTTGCAACAATGTTACAACATTATTGCTGAAATGCTCTGAAATGTTTCTTGGTTACTGGATTACTCATTGTCCATCTAATGCTAAATATTTCTGAAATATTTATAAAAGGTTCCTAGAATTCCAAAAATATTTCAAAATATCCCGAAATATTTTATATACAAAAAGCAACTTTCAAATATTGGTTAAAAATTCCATTTGTACCTATATCGTTACATATTTCAAGAATGTTTCGTACATGTATATTCCGCAAAATTTGAATTCTCTAGAAATTTCAGATGGTCGTCCAAATCATTTTTAAACAAAATTGTACAATAAAGGACATATTTCATATGTTTTCACTTTGGAGTCAAATTTTTAGGCTCATCTCATAGACGGAATGCTGCGTTCCTTGTATTATTTCAGATGATTCTTGTTTACGAGTAAATGCTCTTTGTCGTAGCCCTTTGTCGACAGAGATATGTACCTATTGTTCGCTCGTGAGTGATTTTCGTGATATATATGAGAAGTATTCATACAATATTCTAAAGATTTTATCGACATTTGTACATTTTGTGATTATTTTTTTACTGTTCCGGAATATTCGACACATTAAAAATACGAATCAAACTTTGTATGATTATTTAGCGTTAACTGGGCGCCGACACTTGTCTCATAACAATACTGAACATTACGTCTAGTAAAATATTTATTCATTCTTCATAATAAAGATAACACAAGAAATTTTGGTCGACTGCGTATTGCAAGGGTGAAACATTGTTTTGAAAATTATGCCATTCGTGTGGAATAATAACAACAATATTATATAAAAAATATATTGTCCTTCTCCGGTTAATGGCCTTATAAGGAAAAGTGAGCGAAGCTTTTTCGAGTGAGCCTGATGATTATGATCACTGATCACTTTGTCGCTGGCCGTTCCATAGGTTCCGGAAAAATTTCTCATAAAAATTTTTAATATAGTAGATTTGAATGTACATTTAATATACTAGTTCTAAATTTTATGACGTAAAAAAGTTAATTAAAATACACAGGGTATATATAACATAGTTTATTTTGTCGAATTATATCTATTAAGTTCGTCTATAAAGCGATAATCATTTCATGAAGTAAAAAATATATATTAATATAATGCATGCGTATCACAATACACGCATATAAAAATAAAATTATAAATTTTTCCTGCGAAACTGCATCATAAATCGTCTGATATAAATAACGATTCTTTTAGGTGGCTCAAATTTTTCACTGCGACGGAAACGTGCGATGTATTCTATTAACTATACCAGCGTTTATGTTGTTGGTTATAATTTTGTTGAAAATATGCACATGTCAGTTTAACGGTAGCAAAGTACGTTTAAAACCGAAATATTTATTATAAATTGATCAAAAGATGATTATTCGAATTTTTATTGTACTCTTCTTTTATTATTCTTTGTGATCGCGGTCTTTTGTGATTGTCGGACTGTCTAATAAGATTGAACATCCATTGACGGTATTTCTAGATAAAAAATTTCATGGACTATCTGCGTGACGATTGGGAGAAGTTGAATAGCACGGAGGAATATGAAATTATGAAAAAGTATGCCACGAACGTAAAATTGATTACTTTCGTATATTTGAGTAAGGATAAATCGCTCCGTATTCTTTTTATTTTAACAAATAGTGAACGATTATTTCGTTTTGTTGCAGCATTTGCTTTTGTGGGTACAATTATGTTTATGTTAATTACCCTCGTACCCAAATTACTGAACATCGTGCTACCTCTCAACGAATCCCGGCCTATATATTTGCCTTACAACGCTTATTACTTCGTGGACAAAGAAAAATATTATTTCTACATTATGTTTCACATTATTGTGTGCATACAGGTAGTTTTAATTGCCGCAATGGCACACGACTGCATGTTTCTGGTTTACAGCGAGCATATCTGCAGTCTCTTTGCTGTGGTTGGGTAAGAAAAACCAGTTTTTTACTATGTTTCAACGTGACCAATTGAGAGAGCAAAGTTGTCGTCTAAATACTCGCAGATTTCATCTTGAAACGGTATCACGTAATGATCGTAACGATGCCGGAGATAATCGTCCGAATGACCAAAAGATCTACGATCGGAAAATCGCGATCTCCGTTAATGCACACTGGCGAGCTTTACGGTGAGTGCGCAATATTGCATTAGTTAGAACACACATATTGTAGAATATGTAGATAAAAATCACTATATATAGAAAAAAAAAGAAATTATCTATTTGTATGTTAAAATTATTTTCACCTATTGGACAGATTAGCGGAGATTCTTGAAGACATCTCTTGCATTGGTTTTGCCATGCAAATGCTGATAATGACTGTAACAATGAGCATTACTCTACTACAAGTACATGCAGTTTATTTGTCATTGAAATTCAATTTAGTCGCGTATTTCATGTTATTCGCAGATTGTCTTATGTTACTCACACTTATATGATTAATAGTTAAGAGAATAAAGCGAGAGTTTAAAATATCGTATTTTGTCGTTTTCGAGATCGCCTTACAGATTAACGAAAATCGGGAAACGCTGAAGTATATGATATATATCTCTGCTCAATTGTTACAAACGTTTTGCTTTAGTCTGCAAGGTCAAAGACTGATTGATCACAGCGTGCAATTGCGCGACAAAATGTAAGACTTTAATCACTTAAATTTGGTGAAATCGAAAATTTGTTGACGACTGAAATACAAAGTTGTTGTAGATACAATTCCTTCTGGTACGAAATACCTGCGGAATCACGAAGGCTGTTTCTGTTCGTGATGCGAAGGAGTATGCAACCCTGTTTTTTGAGCGCCGGCAAGATTTATATCTTCTCTTTGAAGACCTTCTCTACGGTAAATGTTATTTATGAAATTTATTCCTTTGAAGTCTCTTTTAAGAATACTGGCATGTGCATGTTCCTTTGAAATCTCTTCTAAGAATACTGGCACTTATTTTAAAGGTTATACAGTCTTCGGTGTCGTATTTTACCGTACTTGCATCCTTCCAATGATCAATTGTCAATATTATATTTTGGATAGTATCTGTGCAACCACAATTATATTATTGTATGAATAGAGATTATGCAATGGAAATAATACTTACATTAACTTATTAATTATGAACATAATACCTACACTGTTAAATTTTTATTGTTAAGTATATTTTTAAATCTCATTATTTTACGAAAATTGCAAGTTATAAAAAGAAATAGGAAATGGAAAATGAAGAAATGGGTAAGAAACTATTATACGATATTTATTTAAAGTGTTGAAATATGTTTGTTTTTCATTTAGTTTTAAAGGGATAGAAAGACATTTTGGGAGAAATAATAAGTGTTTAGTAATAAACTAGGTTAACTAACTGAAGAGATTTGCTGTCAAGTCAAAATTACACGTTATCGGTACTAGCAAATACGTCATCTAGCTTAAAAGACTAGTCACACCACCCTCATCAGGGAATCCTCAATACTATCATCACAAAAATCAACATCGTCAAAGTTAAGCTGAAACAGAAGTAAGTCTTAATTTTTTATTTCCCTCTATTAGTAAAGTCACGTTGCAGCATCAACCACTTGATATATTACACCGTTTAGATATTTCATAGGAATTTTGAAACCGTCATCTCTTTCTTCACAAACAAAAAATATAACAAGAAGAAAGGCTGTGGGATAGATTTGACGATATATCATACTGTCAACGATAATTCTTTTGATGACTTATAATGTTGAATTTGAATCCGTAAGTTTTTCTAACGGGATATATACCTTATTGTGTAAGCAGGAAACATTTAAAAACATTCCGACGTTACAACAACGTTGTAATATTGGTCCCCTTACTGAAACATGGACATATGTGCATGAGTTACAAGCAAGACAAAATGTCTATCACGTTTCTATTGCACATTGAGCGTAATTGTATTTAGCTGTCTTTGAATATTGCAGAAGATATCATGTCTTTTGAATTTACTAAAATTGAAAGAAAATTTATTTTTGTGCTATCCGATATAGTAAAATAGATATAATATTTAAGTTTTTCGAATCCACTGACCACTGTGCTTTCAAACAACGAGACAATACTTTTACACAAAGTTTCCACGCTTATATGTACGTTGAAGGCACGAGCAATGAAAAGAGGAACAGCCTTCTTCTTAACTTCTTTCACTGATAATAATGGCTCCGATCGTTTTCAAATCTACTGGTACATTTTGGCGTCTGTAAAATTGTCACATTATCTCTCTTTCGTTCTTTTATCAGGTTAGGAGACGCGGTAGTGGGTGTGTTCCCTTTTTACTGGCAGTGCAACCATCATAACGTCACAATAGTGCACTGTCGCAGCCGTTCCAAAATTGCTGTGGCACTGCCAGCACTATTGTAACGTCGTATTTCGGAACGACTTTGCAGTAAACTGGCAGTGTAAACAGACATAGATAAACGTACTAAATTGTCAATAAATTTTGAACGAAAACAACAGCGATAGTTCTTCCGAAGAAGATGAAGTAATTATGGGATCACTAATTCAAGCAGTTTGACCTCGTGTTTAAAACTATATGGACACAGAGTTAATAAATATTCAGATGTGGAATTAAGAGTCATTTTCGATAAAATGAATATAAGTGTATCTTCTGCAATTAAATATAATGTATATATTTTTTTATTTCCTGGATCGAATATTTTGACGCGTTGTGCTTCTTTAAGCGACGCCATATTGCACTGTAACTGCTTCACCTCGAAAGCCGCGGTAGTCGCAGTGGCAATATGGCTATCATTTATGACGTCATTGAGGGAACTAGACGCTGTCGCAGCGCGCTGCGTAGTAATAACAATTTTTCAGTACTGCCAGTACTGGCAGCGTATATCGGAACACACCCAGTGTTTCCAGTCATGTTAAAAAAAAAGTAAAAGACATAAAGACACTACAAGTCTCTTATTCTGAGCTACCAAAGTCCATCTTTTGAAGGTACAGAACTACTAAAATATAAAAAATTTTGAATCGCACGTAATGTAAATGTATGGTAAATATTTATTATAATTATATAAACAGTTATATATATAATATTAAATAAAATATATATGTATATAATATATATTTATATACATACATTTATTATATATTTATATATGTATATACCATATATTTCAATTTTTTCTGTATTGTATAAATTGTAGCTTATAGAAAGTTACGTGATAAGAATCGAAAATATATACATTTGTGATACTTGCATTACTAGAAAGCTGCCCCGTATACCTGTACTCTGAAAAATAGGTGATATCCCTAAAAAATCATAAAAATGAAAAGATCAGGCCATGTTCAAAAAAAGATCCTCAAAAATTTAAACCTTTAAAAATTGAAATGATTATCTAAAATAATATATTATATAACTGATGCATAATAACATAAAATATAACTGATATATTATTAATAAAAGTGGAAATAAGCAGGAATGGAAAATGAAGAAATGGGTAAGGAAACGTAATATTTATTTTAAGTGTTGAAATGTGTTTATTTTTTTGTTTGGTTTTAAAGGAAAGTTATTGCGTGAGATAACAGGTTTTTAATAATGGACTAGGTTTTATTTGCATCTAATATAGTACATAGTAACGTCGTTAGCGCAAGTTGCGAAAACAAGTGAATTCAAAATCGTTAACTGATGAAATTTGATTTAATGTCAAGCAAAAATCACGCGTTATCGGTACTGACGAGCATGTCAACTTGCTCCAAACGGTCATACTACACTTGTCAGTGATTTCTCAATATTATCATTACAAATATCAAAATCGTCAAAGTTAAGTTCGAATAAAAAGAAATAAGTCTTAAATATCTTCTTAAACATTTAGTTGAATAACTTACTCACCTATATTAACCCTAGATAATCACACTTCGTGAAAATTACGTAATGATCACACGGGGTCAACATGACTTCAACACATTTTAAATGGTTGCCACAGCTTTATTTTCATAGGTTTTATAGGATAAAAAAAATTAGGGACGTGTGTTCTTTGAACTTTAAAATATGTATTCGCATTGGTTTCTTGCTGAATTAATAATTTTAAAATAGTCAAAAAAATTCATGAATGAAAGTTTATGTGAAAAGTGACTTTTTATTAAAAAATCATAACTTTTTTATTTTTTCATATTTTTGCGTAAAATTTTAGGGATAAAATTTTTAGATGCTGCACTTTGATAAAAAAATTATTGCAATAGTGGACGTTTAAAAAAAGTGAACCCAGCAAGACGATACGTCCACTTCATTCGATTGTCGAAAACACACTAACACGTTTTACGCTGTGCCAACTCAGTGCAGCGATGCGAATTCCAACCCGCTTGCAGCACGGTTAATAGCATGAAGAGGGCATAAGAAGGTACATACATTACGATAAGTCCATATCCATGTACACTTGCGCATGCGTTGTGCGTCCGTCTATACTCTCTTCATGTTAGTAACTGTGCTGCAAGCGGGTTGGAATTCGCATCACTGACCTAGTGTTGTTAGACGGGACGGATTATTGGCACATGCGCGTCGAATGTAGCTTCAGTAATGTATCCGTTACGAGTAAACAGGAGTTCATTAGTCGCCCATGCTTTAAAAATTTTTTGAAAATTGTAATATATTTTTTATATTTTACATATACAACTATAAAGTCGGCCTAATGCAAAATCTCATACAACTTCAGGACTTATACAAATATCCTTTAATAATAGAATTAAGTGTGATCTGCGATGTAAAAAGCAGTATTATATTCAGCATAAAATATTGCTAATTTAATTTCGGCTCGTTTGAGCTTATCTTTACAATAAATTCTATTAATTTATTATTGTTATTAATCGGATCAATTGATTTTTTATTTTTTTAATAAATTTGACCGTTTGTGAGTGCTGAATCAAATCTGATTTAGCATATCTTCTTGCATGCAGTATACATAATGCTTAATTTCCTTGATGGTAAGAAGCTAACCATCCCTTAAAAATATTCTCATCTAGTCACGAAAATTGGAATTCCCTAATCTTGCGTTTCTTAATTGCTCCTTTTCGACGCTCTTAAGGCGTCCGTTTTTCCTACACTGGCTACACCATTGTATTCGCTGCCTCACTGTCGTGCATACACCAATAATCCGTTTAACAACACTGTGCCAACCGCATGGTAATGTAGTTAGAGACTCAAACTACTGGTAGATGGAGCGTCAGGCGTTATTTCGAAATTTAAGTTGGTGAAAATTTTGTCTAAACTTTTGGTGGGGTCAAAGTGATCTGCAGTGATCATCTAGGGTTAATGAAATCTTTTTTGTGTAAGGCGAAAGTTGTATCGCTAAAATATTATCAACTTTCTCCAAATATTTTATAGCAATTAAAACGAATGTCACATTGCAGCGTCAACGAGTACCACTCAGTATATCGTTTGGATATTCCGTAGGAGTTTTGGGATCGTCAACGTTTTCTTCATAAATAAAAAAATGTAACAAGAAGAAAGGCCGAGAGATAGATTCGACGATATCATAAAATCGACGATAATCCTGGCTTTTATTTCGATGACTCATAATGTTGAACTTGAGACCGTAAGTTTTACGATCTAACGGGATATGTACGTGGATATATGCGCATATGTTGCACGCAAGACGAAATGTCTCTGTCGCATTTTCATCGCACATCGAGCGGTGTCTTTGAATGTTGAAGAATATATCATGTCTCTTCGATTTACCGATCGAAAGGAAATTTGATCTTGCCATTCGATATAGTAAAATAGATAAAATCTTTCAAAACCACTGTACTTTTGAATGAGAAAATGCTTTTGCACCAAGCTTCCACCGCTCAATTGTACGCTGAAGACACGAGGCAATGAAAAGAGAGACGGCTTTCTTCTTAGCTTCTTTCGAAGATAAAAACGGCACCTATCGCTTTCGAATCTACCGGCGCCTGTATAATGCCCTTGTCACATGATCTCTCTTTCGTTTCTCTATAATTATTATAGTAATAGTATTGTCTGTTTCCCGACTACGTTCGTCTCTTCCTTTAACGCTTAGGCGATCGTGCGATCGTGATAAAGTGACGTTAGAAAAGACTGTGACGACCTGGCTTGGCTATTTTCACGTTGCGATTGTATGAATGTATATAACTGTCAATAGTATGTATATACACATTTTTCCGTGTACGTCCGACACTAATTATTCGTAGTGTACATGTATGTTATTTTTATATATTATTATATATTATCGCGTGGTATACAGTATAACGATATTTGTATGTATATGTATGTATATATATATATGTATACATAGATATATCTCTACTCTATATATATATATGTATATGTTGTATATTTATATATAACTCTGGGTACAAATAATGCTTACAAAAATATTAATTTGGGAAGGCAAACTTTCAATTATAAGTCCGTTAGTCTCGAAATACTCACGAATGCAACAATAACAGTGGCCGATTTTATCTACCGAAATCATAGGGAAATCTCCGTCCGCGTCTCTCTAACTCAACACAAGTCTCTCCGCGTGCTAATTAGCCTCCCATCTCGGAGTACGGCCCTAAAATTTCAAACTAATTATTATTTCTTCAATATCTCGAAACCCTCTCCATTTCGATGTTGTATTCTTTCCACGCCTCATTTTTTGCTTCTTTTTTTCATTCTTTCTGAATTAAGTTAACAGCTGCCAAGAACAGCAGTAACAATAAGTTACTAATTGTTATCGTACACTTACAAACTTTACTTACAAACTCACGTATCCTAGCGTACTATTTTGCTAAATCTTTTGGTAAATTCGACGCCAAAAAAAGACTCTGATATGATCAGCGATTATCTCCGATATTTTTGAATATCGTTAACATGCATTTGACTGCATAGATATCATATCGTAACAAAGAATGACTTTAAAACAAAAGTATATACCGAGGAAATATATATACTTATGAAACATCAATATCTTAGTTGATAATCTACTAATATACGGACAGTAACTCTGATCACACGAGAGCCCCATTACGCCACGCCGCAAACTGACAGTTCTAACATTTATCTTAACCGCATTATCAATTAACATCGTCGTTAGACCCAAAAAGGAAGACTCTTGTGACGTTTCTTCACTTCCTGTTGTGGACGCTTAACCCTCTCGCCTTTCGAATTATTCATTGCTCGGAACGATAAAAATCGTTTGACGTGGCACGAAACCTTTTAATCACATTCGCCGAACTCGGCGAAAGTACTTCCGTGCGACGCAATCGCGTGGATTTAATTAGAAGTCTCATTCGTTGTATCAGTAACACTTTGCGACAATTACGTGTGTGTTATGTGAAATTACATATAATGCATAATTCGAGTAAGATCTGTAAATATCTTTGATGTCACCGAAAATTAAATGAAGAAATTCATTAGTTAGTAACTTTGAAGATATAAATTTCCGTATCAGCAAAATTATTAAAATTTAGTTATTAAATCATTTAAAAAATCGATTGTTAAAATGTCTTAAAATTTTCATGCATCGCAATAAATAAAACTGCAAATGTGCGCCTGCACAATAAAGAAATAAATAATCGTAAAATAAATTGTACTCATAATTACCTGTAAATAAACGCGCGTCATAAAAGATGCAGAAGTTACAATCATGCGTGTTATATACATGTCCGTTCTCCACTTTTACAATAAAAAAAGAAGAAAATAAAAAAATATTAGAATTCCCTTCAACAAAAGTCTCTTTTCACTGTAACTTGCGGAAATCTTCGTAATGTCAGAAACGATTGGGTTAAACGTTAAGAAATTTGGTGCTTATTCTAACGCTTAGTGCTTTGGTGAAAGCTATCCTGGGCCCTGATGCGCCGCGTGGCGTCCTGGACCGTCGGCCTTCCTCACAATCTCTCCACGTAGTTGCCCGGGAAGGTGCCGAAGTAGCCGGTTCTCTGACTGGAACCAACATACCATCCGTCGTCGCACTTCTCCATCACGTATACTGTGTCGCCCTCCTTCAACTCCAGCTCGTCGTCGTTCTGCGGTTTGTAGTTGTATAACGCCCGGTATCTGTCGAAATGTAAATACTTATGAGTTCAATATTTGTGCTTCCTGCCACGATAGAATGATCACACGAATGAGAAGATAACCGCTCAAATTTATTAAGACAAAAAAACCGTTAACGCATTCTGTGTCGCGTGAATTACTGATGATCGACTGGACTTTCAATTCAGACTTTAATATATTTTAGCTACCCTCTAAAAAATATCGGTGTGGATTTCAAACCTCTGGTGATAATATCAACACCATCATGATGTGGATTTAAAACCCATGTATTAATATTAACACCAACACAGTGAGAATTATATAAACACCGTTATTTTTTAGAATGTATAAAAAGAAACGCGATCATAAAATATTTTCTAAAATAAATTGCTATGTAATTATTGTATACCATGCAATTTTAATCACCAGTGACAGCTAGTATAGTGACCGGTTTTTGTACTGCTATAAATATTGTGACACATGTTATTTAACAAATACATAAATACGATAACGTAGGTTATCGGTGATCCACACGTGGGTAACAAGTCATATAAAATTAATGTATAAGTTTTCATTTAAATGTAAAAGGTTGCAAGACTCACGGGATCGGTTCCGAATGTGTGTCGATATGCAGAGTTTCGCTGAGTTGTGACACATGCAACTTGCTCCCTCCCATACGTGGCTGAAAAGTACGAGGAGAAAGGATTGTTACGCGTGTATTTTTTAAAACGCTTTCGCTTTATTAGAACTGTCCCTTTCAACGAAAATGGCGTCTCTCGGCCGTTATCCGATGGTATAATGAAACGTTACGGGAAGGATTCAATCACGCCGCGGAGTAATTATGCCATGACACAAGATCGCGCGATAGTTACCAGTGAATTATAATGGGGCTGGGTTGTGTTGATATTGACCGGGATGGACGGCACGTAATGATGGGGTCCCATACTCATTTTCCCTCCGGACGAGCCGTTTGCTAAGAGACTGTGCGCCGCCGGAGACGCGACCGGTTTGTTCTGAATCGGTGTCTCTAAAATAAAAGAAGGCAAATTTTGTCGATTTGACGAGAAGTTTGATTTGCAATGTTTTTATTAACACTTTATCAGGTTTCTTTGTTGCTTTTTAACTTTTATAGGAAAAGCACTAAAACAATGTCATATTTTGAGACAAGGAATGTAATGACATAATGAATTATTTTATTAACATCACTGTCAAGTTTCTGTGCTGCTTTCTTTTAACTCTTACAAGACGGGAAAGCTACTATAGTGGCGCTAAAACAATGTCATATTGTGAGACAAAGAATGTAATAAAATAATGAATTAAAACAGGAAAGAAAAGTTGTAAGATTTTCAAAATAAACCTCTACCATAAAGACTGATCTGACTTCTTTGATTTAAATTACCTGATCGATGTCCGGGTTCGGTGATAACTTCGACGTAGGAAATCGGGAAGATCCCTTTTCTGTTTCCTATACGTCCTTCGTACCAATTTTCGTCGACCCTCCTTGTTAAGACCACCAATTCGCCTGTGAACAAATATTGGTAAATATGCCGAAAAGTAATTTACGTTTCTTACGTTGCCTCGAGTCAAGTTTAGAGAAATTCTTCTCGCAACGGTAGCCTCACCTTTCGCCAAGGATAACTCGAGATTGGTCTGGGCGATAAAGTTAAACTTGGCCCGCGCCTGTCCCTCGTGAGCCTTCTTTGGTGTCGTTCGCATCGTACCGTCGTACGGTAGGATCTGTACAGAATAAAGTAATAACTTAGTAAAAGCATACTCTCTTTGTTGCCAGATATCTAATTTTCACTTCTCGCATATACGCCTTATAAAATCTAGATTCAACTGGCGATTACCTCGACATAGTTGGAAGGGAACAGTCCGATCATCGCGTTGTATTCTCCCTCGTACCAATTCTTGTCCACCTGTCGTCGAACGAATATGAGGTCACCGCGCCGGAAAGTCAATTCCCGGGACGACTGGCCGACGAAATTGTAGAGCGCTCTTGCCACCAGACGCGGCTCCGGTGTTTGATCTTGGGATCGACTTCGCTGGCTCAAATCGTCCACGAAATCGTCGTAGCGATTCAAGGGTATGGGCGATTTCTGCGATGGTCTGGAAATTGTTGAAGTGTTGTCGAGAAGATGGAATGGTTTCTCTCAGCCGCGGCAAACCAGGATTGTCTTTCTGTTTGCTCCGAGTAAATGCTAACTCTCCTCGGCATTGTGATGATTATCGAGTGCTTGCAGTCGAAATGCGCCTCGGCGGAATGTAAATCTATTCTTTCGACATCCTCTATAGTCTTTTTCAGGATTCATGATAAATCCAGCTAATACGTTAGAGTCAGATAGTCGACGACGTTAATTAACCCTACATTACCCGCGTGATTTTTTTCCTAATATAATTGCTTAAGGAGATTTGTAAGGTAAATGCAATATGTTAATTACTCTAATATAAATATATGAAAATGTATTATAAAATAATGATAAAAATCTCAATTTTTTTATATAAATACTCTAGGAATTCAACAATATTTTTGTAAAGTTATGTTGAGATGCAGACATTAATTGTTCAGTAAATAAATAAAATTTGTTATTTGTTATAAACTAATGGTGAATCTCAATGAAACTTTGCATAAGTCATGTTTAGTACTTAATATATTTATATAAAAACATTTAGATATTTTTCTTTTATTATTATTTTAACAATTTTTGTTTATAACAATAAAACTAATAACAAATAAAATAACTTATAAAAATGTGTTGCTCAATAAAATCAGAATGTTATGAACACAACTTTCACATGTATGTAGTTTGTTTAAAGCGAAAATATTAATATATGTGTTTTGTGCCCTTATAACCTCCTTAAGTATTTCTGACATTTCCATTATATCTCAATTTTCATTATTCTCTTTGATGATTTGACAATTAAATAAAGATTGATAATCATTTATGGACATTGAAAAAAAATTTACTAAATCTTAATATATATTTCTTTGAATAGTACACTATAAATAAACATTTACTTACAAATATTTACTCAATAAAAAATGATAGTTAAATTAAATTAATGGTTCTTGTATGAAATAAATGTATGTTTACACTTATAATAAATATTTACTTAAAACTATTCCAACAAATATTCATTAAAATTTAGTTTTTTTCAGTGTATCCTTTAAATAAAGATAAATGCAAAAAATTGCTTTTAAATTATCAAACAATTAGTGCTAAATATAATAATGTGTATAAATTTAATTCATTTAGCAAATTTATAAAACCGGAATGTTTTGGACACTGCGAGTAATGAATGGGTAAAGATTAAGGCAGAGTTTTTTTGTAACGTTTTCTTTTCAGTAAACTCGGGACTTTCTATTTCGCTATTGAGAATACATATCTAGGGCTACTCAAGCATCAATGAAATCTCTCTCGACTTTTCTACCTGTGTGTATTCGCCTACACTTTCATTGTAACGCCCGCGTAAAACAACTCACAGTGCACGATGCATTACGCAACGGCGTTGAATAGCAGGAAATGTTTATGAGCCGAGTATGACAAGCTGAAGATGTACATGCCTTTCTCCATACATTACTATTAACGTCATCTTCGAAAATATTCTCGCGTTTGACGGAGTGAACGGAGAAGCACAGAAAAATACGCAAGAAGGATACGCGAGTCTTCCAATTAGTACGACGTCGTTAGAGCGAGGGTTTTTGTTTCTTCATCGACGAAGGTAATTCGAGTCTCACTTGATAAGATGAGGTGATTAAAGCTTCGATTCGATCCTTCGACCGCGATCTCCCGAATTAAAAGGAGCAAAAGGAGAAAGAGGAAGGAGACCCTTTGTACTTACATAAAATTATCGGTGTGTCTGCGGGAGTCGATGTCGTGCAACTCCTGGAGATACTTGCGACGGCGCTCCTCCTGGTAGACGCGCCGCATGTTCTCCGCGCTGCGACGTGCGAGCTCCTCCTCGCTCAGCGGCTCCTTCGCCTCTGTACGCACCGGCGAGCGATAGTGAATCGTCACCTCACCCTCCACATAACGCCTCGGCGATTCTGCATCAAGCGAGACGCGCATTTATCGTCACCGATCGACCTGATCCGCAAGCGGAACGAACGTCGCGTTTGGACCGTTAGAATTTTTTGTGTCTCTCGCACAGGACGTTCTAATGTACGTACGATATTCTCTACTTCTTCCTACATGTACACTTTTGTGCAATTTAATTTCGATTCGATTAAACCCTGATCTGTGGCACGCACGACGAGATGCGACGCGAGAGAGTGTGGTTAATTTCGGTTTAAATTATTCGATTGATGGAAGCGCGTTTTATTGGGGCGCGGTTTAAATTCGCGTGCCATTTCATCGAGTTACATCGTCGTCGTCAACCGCTCCAGTGAACCTAGTCGTTATTAAAAATGATGACGAACGTTCCGATGTCGATCGCAGATTCGTAATTCGCGACAATCTAAAGTATGAAATACGATCCTTACATCGTGACTTTTTGCTTTCAATCGTGGACGTTATTTTGATTCGAATTAATAATAAAGAATGTTATTTTAATTCGAATTAATAATAAAGAGCATTTTTTAATAAGGACAATAATACGGTAAATCATTTCACCCTTTTTTTAACAGTGGCAAACGACAATGGGTGTGATAATTCATTGTGTTATACTGTGTCTTTGCTGGAAAATGTCCAATATCATGGTGAATTTCGTCACTCTACACTAAATTAGTGTACATTAAATGTTGCTCTATACGAAATATCTGCAATGGCATAATGTAATTAACTTTAACAATGAAATAATACCTGCATATTCTGCTAAATAGCGTGACAATATCATAATTGAGTAATTTAATCGTTAAAATATTTACATGCTTTTACCGCAATGGATGGAACGCATTAATGCGAAAAGTAATATATGATTTGTATATTTTGTCTCGTTGATGACGACTATGAAGTTTAACAGAAATATTTTTCTGTCACACGTTATGTCTTCTTTGAGCCATTAAAAATATTTTTATAAACGCTGATTTCTATTCTGTTGAATTAGTACAAAAGTTCTGACTCGATTTATCATTCAAAATTCAAGTAACTGCAACTTCATTAAAAATAAACATTTAAATTTAAAAAAAAAGGGATTTAAAAGTTAAAATCTGTACTTTCGAAAGGTCACTATGTTTTTTGAGTTTCTGTGAGTTTGATAATTTTCACATATAGAAAACTACGAGCTGGACAAAATGAGAAATTTTCTTCTCATCTTGTAGATATCTAACGTGCCAAAAAAATTTATAAAAATTTTCTAACGTGAAAGTTTTTCCTGCGAAATTTTTTAAAAATGTTCCTGAGATTTTTTATTGCCGAGTTATCGCGGATTAAATAAAAAAAAATAGCACTTCGACTTTGGTTCATAACTTCGTAAAAAATCGTATCGCAATTAAAAGAACAGATTCATAAAGTTGAAATTTTGTTCTATTGAATAGTATCATAATTGCCAATTTGAGTAAAATATTTAATGTTCTGAATTTACATAAAAACTTGTTTGAAATTGGGTCAGAGCTTTTGCACTGACTTAATATTATTTGTATATTTTAAATTATCAGGAATCTTATCGTTATAGCTTTACTTATACATTTAACTTTTCTAATTTCATGTATAACAGCTTTTAGCTTTTAGTATGCGCTAACATAATGTAATGCGATGCAAATGAATGAACTGAATTCGCTATCAGATTATTAAGATCACATTCGCAAGAGACGGGATTTTAGTGTCTCGGCGTCTTTAACGTTTGATGATGCTCAAGTCCCGACAGTTATTAGAGCATGCGACAATCATATCCAGCCAGATAATATCATGGAGGAAGAATTGAATCGCATAAAGAAGACGACGGTTTAACCCACATCGAGACCACCGCTTGTTTATCTCATTCTGCTACAACATATGGCTTCTTCGCGGAGAGAAACGATACCCAAGACGCGGTCGTCGACCGACACGAGGCAAAAATCTAGATACGGTGTCTGAACACGAGTTCATGTAATGCTCGATTACATTTGATTACGCGCACGTGATACAACATAACTAAATATAAAACATAGTGCAGGGAGTCTATTACATAGTATCTATTACACCGATATTTGCAAAATTATAACGACAGTTATAACGACCCGGAACATGTAGAAGTTTCCGCTAAATATCCCTGTCAATAACTTTTAACGCATTTACAGGCGATTATTATTTATTTATGCAAAAGCACGTAGGAACTAACGACCGCGTATCGATTCGCGTGACGCATTTCCGTCTTTATCTCTGTTCCCTTTCTCCTCTTTTATCTCTCAAGAGTATTTAAAAACTAGGAAGCTCTCCGTATTTCAGATGCGAACAAAAGCGTTTTGCACGCACCTGGCTTTCGTGCACGCGCTGCGCGGGATAATGACGACAGTTTATCGCGATGCAACAGCACGCGCGTGCATACCTGCAGGCACGATGCGTACTCGCGTGCGTCGGGCTGCAACGAGACCGTGCGACTGATAAAGTGGAATACAGCTTGCAACCGATCAATTCCTAATAAAGCGCAGCCGCGATGACACAGGTCGACGTAAGCATCGCGAGAGTTCGAACCGGCGACGAAGTCTTTTAGGGCACGTATTATTAAACCATTCGAAATGGATTGCGATACGAGTTATTCCGTTTTTCCTTGGTTCCAGAAAACACAATACGCTGAAAAAAAAGCGTGGTAATAGCCATCAAAGTTGAGTGAAATAATTGCAATCGAATGTTTGATTAATCCAATCAAAAATAATTTTAGGTTTCATTTTTAACCCTCAAACGGCACACTGGTGCGAATTCGCACCAGCAAAATTTTCAAAACATTGGGATTCATCAAGAAGATCATTTTTTAATAACAATTTTTTTATAACTTAAGAATAATTTAACTAAATTTGAGTTGCACTAATCGCTTTGTTGAGAAATTTTACCCCAAGAAAGTATAGTTTTGAAAGTATTTTGAAGAACATTATCATGGTTAAATAAGTGAATGAAATCACAAAATCCCAATTTGCAGCAGTGTGTCGTTTATAGGTGCTGGGATGAAGTGTGCCGTTTGAGGATAATTATTAATATTCTTATAAAGATGTTTATTAGCGTCAAAAAAATTATTACATTGCTTGTCAATTTAATAAATAATATTATTACTCTGATTTTGCTCATAAATGCGTTACGAAAAAGATTTCGGCGTGTAGTTTACAGAATCAGATATTTATATAAATTCACACAGAAATATTTAAGCATTAAAATTCACTTTAATCAAATATAGGAATTCTCATGTTTAATTAGAATAATTTTACTTTTCTAAATATTTAATAATTATTAACAACGGTTGGTTATAATTATTACATCTGGTAATACTTGGTGATTAAATATTTAGAAAAGTAAAATTATCTATGGTTAAATTAATCGAACATTTGATTGAAATTATTTCACTCAATATTTAGCTATTATTCTTTTCAGTGTAGAACTGTAGAGAATAATTAAATAATTTCTAGCGGAATCCATTCCAAATAGTTCCATGATACGTGCTCAGGTTCCAATCGCAAGGAATTTATTTTTCAACCCGAACAGCTGAAAGTGGGAATCATCGCGATGTACGATAACAGAAAAATGTCATGAGATAAAAAGATAAAACAAATGTGCATGGAATAAAAATAATTTTTAAAAAATCTCTCCTATCGGATCAGATTTCAAATCACAAACTTTTATCCTTCTTCAGTGAAATCTCGGTGGATTCTCCCGCGATTCCGCAGAACTACTTTGTTTCGTGCCATCGTTACTCGTGTAACCCGATTTGTTAGCGTGTAACGCTAACTCATCACAAATGCCGAAACGAGAAACTGAATTTCAGTCTCTCTCTCAGAACGCCGCAACACCTTTCACCGCTTTCATTGAACGAGATTCTCACGCGATCGATTCTTTCTCTACCTCTCTGTTTCTCGCGCTTATCCTGTGCCAAGACTATTTTGTTACGGTACCTTATTATTCTTTTTATCTGATCCTCTCCTCATATAATTTAATTTCGATTTACCGTTCTATGCTCGACGCGTTTCTAGAGTTTTTGTGGATTATGAGAAGTACACTTTTCGCCTTACGACTTGATATTTACGTCGTGTCAATTATCTTTAATCGCTGGCAACATGAAATTTTAATCCTCTCGTCAGCAATCTTCGAGAAACAGAGTAAATTTTTTATTCAAATAAAAAAGTGCCAATTACGATCAAAGTTAGACGTTGGAATAACAAATCTATATGCATTATTAAATAAATATATCTCAGATATACGTGCCAATTATTTTCGAACTTGCAATACGACCTAACTGAAACAATATGTAAAAAATTTGTTATTGTTCCGGATTATATAAAAATCTAAAAGAATTCTAGTATACTTGTTAAAGTTTCAACTTCAACAAATTTTTACCATCACAGCAATTGAATGTATTGTATTTTATTTACTTTTTATAGATAAATTAAATTTACCTAAAATTCACGAACAAAATATCGATGTTTTTAAAGATTCCAATTGCTGGCGAAGGCATTTCAAACTTTTTTTATTACGATATTTTATATAACACAAGTTACTTTAATATATCGAAGTTAATTTAATATACGGGCTTTAACATATCTGATACAGATATATTTCAAAATACTTCTATCGACTCGAATCTGAACACGTAATTTGAGGTTATTGAGTTTCCTAAGTTAAAACAACGTTCCGGAAAGGATATGCTGCTCTACCTAATTGGTACCATGCCTCTACTTATTTCTCTCTATTTTTTTCTCCCTTCTTCTCAATCATGGCGCCAACGACACCAGCAACAGCTAGGTATGCCGAGGCGATTCTAACGGGGCGCGCGGCTATTTACGCGCGGCAGGAAGAGCATTATTTCAGGAAAATTATGCGCATGTTTACTGACTGTACGGAATCGGTCCGTAGACCGTAGACGGAAGCGCGCTTCCGGCGGCGTGAAGTCCGCCAATCGGACTCGTCTGATCGAACAAAGGGCTGC